AGAGTTGATAGTACCGATTATAAGAGCATCCACCAAGACAACAAAGTTACAGCAGAACATTTCACCACTGTCATCAAAATTACACTGCAACATTTTTTGGCTCACGTGTTCAGGAGTGATTCTCTCAGAAGATGATGTAAACTGACTCCTCAAGTTATCCAACAGTTCACAAGTCTCAGATTTTGTCTTTAATTGAATAGGCATATCACCTCTTGGGAAGCCTAAGACCTTCTCCACATCATCAGTTTCAATATGAATGTTCCCCTCCGAAAAACGCAAGACAGAGCTAACTGGGTCAAAATTATCCACCACCCAGAAAGCTAAATTGCTTGGAATCTCCTTAATCTTAAAATACATCAAGTATCCAAAACCCATCTTTTCTACAACTATCTTTTGTTCATCATTTAATTTAGCAATTGACTCAACCAAAGTTTTTGCAGAAGATCGTGTTGACAACTTTGGGAAATGAAGTTTATCATCAGACTACCGTTTACGAGATGGATAGCGAGATGATGGATGAGTAAGCAAAAAAACTTCATCGCCAGGCTCCATAACGATTTCTTCAAATTAAACTGAGTTACAAAAAAAAATGTCAAATAAATATAAGTAAACTTACAACTAACATTGCAGCATCAGAAAACTAACCTTGCAGAGATATATAACTAACCTAGCAAGAGAAGATAACTAACCTAGCAAGAACATACAACTATCATTGCAAGTTCATAAAACTAACCTTGTAACAACGGACAACTAATCTAGCACCAACAGACAGCTAGCCTAGCAGCAACATACTACTAATGCAACATGATAAAACTAACCTAGCAACTACATATAACTAACGTTGCAGTTATATACAACTAATGTTGAACATGACAAAACTAACCTAGCAATAAAAGACAACTGTCGTGGCAACTACAGATAACTAACCTAGCAGCTACAGATAACTAACCTAGCAGTAAAAGACAACTAACATATCAGAAAAAGAGATATAACCTAGCATAGATATGTAACTAATCTAGCAATGAAAGACAACTATCCTAGCAGTTACAGATAATTAACATAGCACCAACAAACAACTAACCTAGCACCAACAAACAACTAACCTAGCAACACCATACAACTAACATTGCAACACGATAAAACTAACCTTGCAGAGATATATAACTAACCTAGCAACAGAAGATAACTAACCTAACAAGAACAGAGACCTGACCTAGCAAAAACATTATCATTGCAACATGATAAAACTAAGGTTGCATAGATATATAACTAACCTAGCAAAAACAGAGCCAACAGACAGCTAACCTAGCAACTTGATAAAACTATCTTTGCAGAGATATATAACTTGATAAAACTATCATTGCAGATATATATTACTATCCTAGCAATGAAAGACAACTATCCTACCAGTTACAGATAACTAAACATAGCACTAACAAATAACTAACATAACACCAACTGACAGCTAACCTAGCAATACAATACAACTAACATTGCAACATGATAAATCTAACCTTGCAGAGATATATAACTAACCTAGCAACAGAAGATAACTAACCTAGCAAGAACAGAGACCTAACCTAGCAAAAACATTATCATGGCAACATGATAAAACTAAGGTTGAAGAGATATATAACTAACCTAGCAAAAACAGAGACCTAACCTAGCACCAACAGACAGCTAACGTAGCAACTTGATAAAACTATCATTGCAGAGATATATAACTATCCTAGCACCTAAATATAACTAACATAGCAACAAAAGACAACTATCCTAGCAGCTACAGACAACTATCCTAGCATCTACAGGTAACTAACATAGCAACAACATACAACTTACATTGCACCATCAGAAAACTAACCTAGCAGCATCAGAAAAAATAACAAAGCAACACAGACAACTACCTACCAACGATAGACAACAAACCTAACAACGATAGACAACTAACCTTGCAACTAAATATCAATAACCTTGCAACTCAGACACAACCAATAAAACCCTGAAAATACGAATGATATACTTTATACATGGATTGGATTAAAAAATTCAAATACTGATAAAAAAAATAACCAAAACATATTACAAACACCGATAAAAATCTATTAAGAGAAAAAAAAAGCTAAAATCGAAAAAAGAGATTACAAACAAAAACAAACGCAAAAAATACTCACCGATTAAGACAAGAATCTGCGAGGATAGAGATTGCGAATGATAAAACTGAAACACAAATTGAGACGAAAAGCAAAATCAAATCGAAAGTGGAAGAGAATGGAACAGTAAGAAGGAGCAAGTGCGAAAATGGAACAGACAATGAAGTGCGAAAATGAAACAAACTGCAAGTGCAAAAAGTGGAAGAGAAGATGAAGAAGCGCCCGCGAAAATCAATTGATATAATGAATTAATCCTGAACGTTAGATTAGATGCGGAAAGAACGGACGAGATGCGGTCTCACGTCCGCATTTTAAAAAATTGTCCGCATTGGAACCAATCCCTATATATATATATATATATATTATTATTATTATTATTATTATTATTATATTCTTACCTTTCTGACCGGGTAGAGCGCTCGTGCTGATAACGTGTTATAAAATGCGAGGAAGATAAATAACACAATGTAAAAGCCGGATATAAATTATAAGATGCTTTATTTCTTCTTCTCTTCCGTACATCAATGATTCAATTGCAATACATCTCTTGCCTTTTATAGGTAAACTAGTGTATACCCCATGCGATGCACGGTAACAATATTAAATTAACAATATTATAAATAGACCTTGAGTTTGAGTCGCTCAATGACGGAAGTGGAAACTACTATTGGTCCTATTTAAAAAGAGGAAGAAAAAAATAATAATTATAAATTAAAGAGGAGTATAAACAATACTTATAATTATAAATTAAAGATTCGGGGTCAAACAATGTAAAATTATTTTATAAGAGAATATAATTTTTACATTATTTTGAAGGAGAGAATATAAAATTTTATGTTTAATATTAAAAATACCTAAAATATTATATTAGTATATGTAAAAGTATTCAAAATTTTCTATATTATTTTTAAAATATATGAAGTCACCTACAACTTTTCTAAACAATTTTAGAAGAAAAACATATCTAAAAACATTTGAATTTGACATTATATAAAAAAAGATTTTTCTAGACTATTCTGTAAAGAAAACATGTCTACAAATAATTAATTTTAATATCAAATATGTATATGTGTATATGTATATATATGTGAATATATAGATGAATATGTAAAAAACAAATGTCTAAACAATTTGTTTAAAGCAACTAAAATATTATAAGCCTAATTTAATAAACACCTTCGGTCAAAAAAATAAGGAAAAAAATATCTACACATTAAATCAGATATAATGTTTCGAAATTTCTGACTAAAAAGGTTTAAATGAAAAGGGAAACAAATCAACACAATATCTACTATTTTGTTAATCTAAAAATAAGAAAAAAAAGGAAATATCACAAAAACCATGGCATCTACTACCTCTTATTCTTTTTATATGTCATTTTGAAATTATCAACTATTAACAAAATAAATGTCGTTTTGGATATTTTGTACATATTTTGTCATTATTACCCTCATCTACTCAATAAATACACTACCTCTTTTCATATTCACTCTTCATATTTTCTTAAAACATTCATCTCTATCTTCATTAATGAGAGTTATTATTGGCAAAAAAAATATTCTTAATAATTGTGCAACTTCTCAAAACGACATTTATAATAAATAGGAGGGAGTATTATTTTGTTAAAAGAGAAACATCACAAAAACCAACTTCGATTTTTTTGTTAACAATATATCACTATTTATTTATTGACTGATTTTGGAGGGAAAAGCATAAAAACGTATTAATTTAATGATTTTGACGGAAAATTATAAAAAAATTATTCTTTTTATACAATAGATTGATACACAATTCAATACACATTTTAATTCAATACACATTTTAATACAATAATGAAAATGATAAAATTTATTATTTGTGATAAATTCCACTTATTCCTAATACAACCAAAGGTTTTAAACGCCAGTTCTCCAATGGGCAATGGCCTCTCCATTTCTTTTCCCTCTTCTTCTTCTCTCTCTCTCTCTCTCCGTCTGCCCTCCTTTAGCCAATAAACCCCTGTAAAACCCTCTTCTCTTATCTACAACCGCAGTGCTTTTACTTTTTCTTTAAAAGAGTTATCAAGACGGCAGCCTTTTGTGCAATTAGCAACACAAGTAGGCTGGGCAGTATTGCGGCGGCTATGGCTAAAATGGGGTTTTCTGCTCCGGCTACCCCTTTTAGGCCCTCATCCTTTTTCTGGCTCTGCCGCTCCTACACTCGGTTATACTCTTTTTCATCTTGGAGCAGAGTTTTTTGCAGGTTCAACTTTGTCTCTTTATTTGCTGAATGCTGTGGTTTTAAAGGGTTTTTTGCTGGTTAAAACTGTCTCCTTATTTACGGTGTTGGGTTTCTTTGAGAGTTCAATTTGAGGTATCTTCAATAAACCCCCAGGGATTTGGATTCTAGCTTTCTTTGCATTTGTTTAGGAACTTTTGGGTGTAGGAGATATTTGTCTTGTTTCTTGAGATTGGGGTTTTGCGTCCGGGCATTGTTATTGTGTGAGATTGGGGTTTTTGAGTACTGGCATTGTTAAAGGGGTTGTGTAAACACGTTAATTTACTTGAACCAATTGATTAAATACAGACCATACGGCAATCTTGCTTTTCTGTTATTTCGTTCTGTTTTCTTTTTACTTACCATGTTAATTCCATAATGCAGACTGAAAGATAGAGTGCGTCCAAGTGGAAGTGGCCTCAATGATGATTTAGTCGTACAAAAACAAAGAAAAAGTTACAGCCCATCTTATGAAAGAAAGGGTGGACGAGTTACTAATTGGTCATATCCTCAGTTAAAGGGGCCCGTTGTTACTAATTGGTCATATCCTCAGTTACTAATTGGTCATTCTGAAAGCGAAATCGCTCGCGAGAGGCTTAGTCAGGTTTATGACAAGGTTCTTGTGGTTGATGGTATTTCTGCAGCAAGGGAAGTAGTCAGAATGCTCACCACTCAATACAATCATCTCATTCACGCATGTGATACTGAGGTATTATCTGTTTTGTATAAACTGAATGTCTTAAATATTCTAATCCGTACATTGGAATGATGTCTGAGCTTTCCTATGTGAATGTTGATGATCATAGGTGGCCAACATAGATGCTAAAGAAGAAACACCAGTGGACCATGGGGAAATTATATGTTTTAGTATATATTCTGGGCCACAGGCTGATTTTGGCAATGGAAAGTCCTGTGTCTGGGTAGATGTTCTTGATGGAGGTGGTAGGGATATTATCAAAGAGTTTGCTCCATTTTTTGAAGACCCAACTATTAAAAAGGTGAGATTAGAAAGAAAAGGAAAAGGCAAAAAAAAAAAAAAA